GGGATCTTAAATTATGAATTATTTCCTTCAACTTTCCAAAAAAGCACATGTTGTCTTACGACCCCTCCCCCCGCTATTACATATGATATAAATTTAAATTGGCTGTAATACAGGGGCGGATCTTGGACATTCGCAGTTCCATGTACCTATAGATTTTTTTTAGGAGTTCCCATTCGTATGAAAAATGAAAGCTAAACTATAAAACTCCTATAAATAAAGCGTAATTTTACAATTTCTACCCGAAATACGTAACGATGGAATACATGGGGTCCCTTGAGTCGGGATCATGTACAGAGTACCCACATCGTTTACGACACCTTAGATTTGCTTCTGGGAAAAAAGACTTTCTGTGTTTCTGCTAAGAACTTAGTGAATAGGTAAAAGGAAAAGACGGAAGAGAATTCATTAAAAAATATTAAAGAAAAAGTAAATAGGTATTACTCACAGAAATATTCTGGATCAATGGATTAAAACAACTTTCAGGACAATCCTAGGCAGCATTTTTGAAATATCCTGTGTAGTTATAAGTTGATTCAAAATTTCTCAAAAGAGCTAGTAGTTCATTGGACTTATAGAAAATTACATGGGCTTTTTTTAATGGATTTGGCCCTCTTCTTGTAAGTTTTTATCTTCGTGAGATATTAATGAAGCCCAATGAGTCACTTATAAATATCAATATAAAAAGCTCTACTTGAGTCATAATAATTTTTATATGTAGGTGCTTACACCTATTACCTAAACCTATTTGAAAAAAAGAAATTTTTATTCATCCTCATATGTTACACATTAGTAAATCAGTGTAGGTTATAGCTTATCTATAAAAAAAAACTTTCAATCGCTTTAAAAAAAATTATGAGTTGACATTTTTACTATTTGTTTTTATAAGTTTGATGCTTTAAACTTGGACGTTATGAAATTACTTATATCAGATTCATTTTTTTGAACTTACTTTTATTCAGTTTGAAAATAAACGAAACAATACTATATTAGTTTGTTGGAGGTGCATGTAATCGAGGTAAAAATTGACGATACTACAAATGGTAGCTATGTATGAGTGTAAGCTGGCTGAAGAAAAGGGGATAGGGATGGCCTTTTAAAACAAATTATTTTTCATGTGGAGTGGAGGGATGAAGTTGAAGAATTTAATGAAAATAAATAGGGCAATGGTAGGGAAATGGTCTTGTCCTTCCTATTATATTTAGAGGAAAGTGGACTTAAAATAAGTTTTCAGTTTCAACTTTTTCTTAGTTTAATCATCAGAATACACTCTACACCAATCCACCCCCGACAGGGGGCACGTACCATCATTCACACATTAACCATTTATCTTATTCGATTCTTCAACCTCACCTCCCGCGCATCTACCCATTTTGAAAACCTTTTATATCGTACAAGGTTACCCCTACCCCCTTCTTCCACCGACGGTTACCTCATATTGTACACAAATTCTCTAAGGTCACCCCATCCCTACATCTAGATGTTTATTCCAAATAAGACCATTCTCTATACAGTTCATAAGTCATTACTTACTATATTTGCAAGCTAAAAGTAAAGCCCATATCTATCTCTGCACAAAAAAGTTATTTGTATAAAAGAAAAAAAAATAATTGAAATTTTTGCATATTTTCGCTTACTTGTTTTTAATATATCATGAACTAAATTTTTTTTTAACTTTTTAAACAAGCTACTTCAACAGAAAATCACATTCTCTACAAAATTTTTCCTATAAAATACCTACAAATTTTGCTTCGATTTCGAAATATACTCAAAAAAATGTGCATTTTCACCCCTATTTGTAATTTGCACCCCCTAATTTAATAACACCGCGGTGTTCTCATATTTAAGATCCAAATGAAGAGTTCATGCTATAAAACCCCTTCAATGTATTGGTTTCTTATTGCTGTTTTTATGATATTATGTATATTATTATTATATTATATGTAACATAATGGGGGGTATCCAAGACAGGACAGGAGCGAGGGAGACCGGAAAAAGTTCAAAACAAAGTTTCAAAACGATGTGTCATTTGTCTAATATGTTTATTAAAAAAATTACAGAAACAATACATTATTTAAAAAACAAAATAAGAATTTAAACAATATATTCCTTCATATTCTACAAATACGTTTCATAAAAAACTAAAATACGTTTCGGCACCTTAAAAGCTGCCATTCATAGAACAGAACAGTGTTTGCTTAGTTTAGTTCCTCAGAAATCTATTTAATTTTTCTAGAATATTATTATTAATAAAAAGAATACAAATAAAACAGCTTATTAACATAAAAAAAATGCTTAACATCTTCATGTGTATTAGTTAGATATATGCGTGAGCATATGTTTCTTAAGATGGAATCTTTGTAAAAAACTTCGCGAACAAATGTTACATTCATACGGGTTTTTCCCCGTATGAAAGCGCATATGTGCAGGAATATGGTGTTTTTGGGAAAACCTTTTCTCGCACATTTGACACTTGTAGGGTTTTTCATTGGTATGAACACGTATATGTCGAGCAAGATCGTGTTTTAGGGAAAACTTTTTCTCGCACATTTGACACTTGTAGGGTTTTTCATTGGTATGAACACGTATATGTCGAGCAAGATCGTGTTTTAGGGAAAACTTTTTCTCGCATATTTCACACTCGTACGGTTTTTCCTTCGTATGAACATGCATATGTCGTTCGAGATAGTATTTTATGGAAAACCTTTTGGGACATATTTCACACTCAAACGGTTTAGGAGCTTCCTTTGTATGACGACGTATATGTCGATTAAGATAGTACTTTATAGAAAAGCTTTTCTGACACAATTGACACTCATATGGTTTTTCTTCGGTATGGACACGATCGTGACTGGTCAAGTCCTCTTTTTTGATGAAGCATTTGCTGCAAATCGGACATTTAAATGGACGTTCGCTTCTATGAAGCTTTAAATCACCCCTAAAAATTAATTATATAAGTGAAATTAACTTAATAATATAAAATGGCTAAATGTAAATTGGACAAGAACGTTAGGTAGGTCATAAAGGCAGTTTGATAAAAAATATGCCATGTTCGACTTACGTTGGAGCTAGTGTCTGTTCATAGGAATCACCTTCTTTTGTGGATTTACTTGAATTTTCTCTTGTATGAGTAAATGTCTGTCCACAGGTGTCATCAATATCTGTGCATTTATTTAAATTTTCTGTTGTATGAGTTTTAACATGATGAATATAGTTCTGTTTAGATATAAAGTTTCTTCCACATAACTCACAATTATAAGTTCTCCCATTATTGTGAACTTTCATATGATTACTCAAGTCTAATTTTGAAGTGTAAAATTGTGGACATAATTTACATTTTAATTTCTCTGACTTAACACAGGAAAAATTAGTTAAATCTGAAGTTCTGTTATTGTTTACATTAAGCTCAACTTCATCTTCAGAAATATTGTCTGGTATTTCTTTTTTTATGGAGATTTCTTCTTCTTTTATTATAACATCAATACGCTCAACTTCATCTATCAATATATTATCTTCTACTTCCTTCTTTATAATAGTTTCTGCTTTTATTATATCATCAATACGCTCAACTTCATCTATCAATATATTATCTTCTACTTCCTTCTTTATAATAGTTTCTGCTTTTATTATATCATCAATATGCTCAATTTCATTTACCAAAATATTATCTTCTACTTCCTTTTTGATATTGGTTTCTTCTTTTATATTACTTAAACTTACAAGCTCATTTTTATTACTTTCTTTACTAGAAAAATGCCATGTCTCGTCAGTATTGTAATTATCATCAAACAACTCAATTTTCACTTTTGAACTGGACATTTCTTCCTGCAAAAATATAACTTATTGGCCTTTATGTTTATTTACTTGTTATTTTTGTCCATTTTTTGGCATTTCTTTAAAAGATTGTTTATGATTACACTAGAGGGCACTGAAAAAATTAATATATTTTTCGCTTTTCCTAAAAAATTAAGCATTCACAAACATTTTCCTTTGCATATTCTGAATTCACCAGAATTCACAAACAATTTGCAATCGATTGATGAGTACCAGGAGTTTAAACTACAATTAATTTAAAAAAATGTTGGTTAATTACTAGCTGCTAATTAATGAACTGATTACCAATTAATTTATTAGTTAAAAACAATTTCATTTAAGTCATAAACGTTCATAAACCTTTATATTTTCTGTTAGCTAATCCTATTCATAAATTATACACTAATTTCAAAAACCAATTTTCTCTATGTTCGTTATCAAGTTATCTATTATTAAATGGAAGTGAAGTCCAGTGAAGTTGAAAGTGAATCTATGGAAGTCAAGTAATCTATGAAGTAAAGGTAGAAGGTCAATAAAGTTTTAAGGTTAGTGAGGTTATCTCTTCGAAAATACAAAATAATAATATATTATTAATAGGGTAAGTTTTGTATTAATATTTGTTTTGGAAATAGATTTTTCATTTGATGATCCTTACAGAGCAAGTTTTGTAAAATGCCAGAACTTATAAAAAGCAGTGAATCATTCGAGAACATTGTCAAGTATGATTTGTAAGAGTATACCGTCAAGAGTATTTCAAATAGCTTTTTGTTTTTCAGAGATACAAAGCTCACAGTTGTTCATTTTTCTGCTGACTGGGCTGAGCAGTGTGCCCAAATAAACGATCTTTTAGACGAGTTAAAAAAACAACCAGATTTTTCTGAAGTACAGTTTTATCAATGCTTAGCAGAAGATCTTTCCGAAATTTCTTTGAAATATAACGTAGATTCTGTACCAACAACATTATTATTTCAATCTAGTAAAGTCCTAAATAGAATAGATGGTACAGATACAGCTAAAATAACAGCAACAATAAAGAAGTATATTCAAAGCGATCTTAATGTATCTGTAGTTAATAAAGTGCCACTTGAAGAAAGATTGAAGCAGCTTATTAATAAATCCAAAGTTATGCTTTTTATGAAAGGTGATAGGACTGCACCTCGTTGTGGTTTTAGTAAGCAAATTGTTCAAATATTAAATGATACGGGGTGAGTACATATTATTATAATAAAGAAATATGATTACCTTATTAAATTAATTTTATGATAATTGATTTCAGAGTATTATATGAAACATTTGATATTTTAACAGACGAAGAAGTTCGTCAAGGATTAAAAACATTCTCTGACTGGCCCACATACCCACAGTTATATGTTAATGGAGAATTGATTGGTGGATTGGATATTGTTAAAGAAATGTTAAATGCAGGCGAATTAAAATCTGCACTAAGTGCATAATTTCAAACTGTATTGACAACTTAGTAATTTATTCTGTCATTGATAAGCTATGCTACAATATATTCACTGAGAACTGTTTCTTTTTTTATTGCTAAAAGAAATAAATCAGTTACACTCCAGTTTAGTAGCATAATACACTTTAAAATTAATCTAGAACTGTTTTTCTCATCATATTGCAGAGCTTTGAAGTATGTTATTAACTAACTCATTTCCTCTTCATGTATATTTTTTATTTACCCTAAATTATCAAGTTGAGCCACAATTGATTAATTTTATGTTGTGATGACTAGTAGCTTGACACTAAAAATTGTTATAATTTTAAAATATTTGTTAATTATCACTTAGAAAACAATGCAATTTTTTTAATTTTTTTACAGCTTGTTATTCCAATTATTATTTATTAATTCAAAATGAAAGAATGCAATATTTATTGTTAAACTATTTTATTAAATACGGTGACAATGTATATTATGCAAACAACGTTATTAATCTAAAGCATGACAAATTTTAGTAAAGTTCAGAGTAACTTCAAGTAAATCATGAAAGAAAAAAAATTAGCAGCGGCCTCTGTCTTCGACTCTTTTTCTTGGCGCAGCTTTGATAATGCTATCAACACGTAAAATCATTTCAGCAGCTTCAGCTGCTGAAAGAACCACTTGTCTTTTTACGACAAACGATTCGGTTATTCCTAGTTGTTTCATATCGGCAACTTCCCCTCTGTCCATGTCAAGTCCCAAAGTGTAGTTTCCACTAACATGGCCAGCTCGTAATTCGCTGATAATTTGTGCTGAATCATAACCAGCATTATCAGCAATTATTGTAGGCAACTGCTGAAGAGCTCTAGCGAACGCTTCCATTGCTACAGACTCTTTGCCAGGCGTCTGAGCAGCAGCTTTGTTGACTGCAACTGCCATCAGCATTTCGCTGCAACCACCCCCAAAAACGATGCGAGTTTCCTTAACGGTGGCCGCCAAAACGCAAAGGGCATCGTGAAGAGATCTATCAGCCTCGTCGATAATCTGTTGCGTTGCTCCACGAATCACGATAGTGCAAGCTTCTCCTAAAGCGACTCCGCTGAAACGTAAAAGAATGTCTTCGCCAATCATAACTTGCTCAATAACATCGCATGTTCCAAGTTTCACAGTTTCAGGGCTGTCAAAAGTGGAAACTATTTCACCCCCAGTAACAAGGGCCAATCTTTCTATCCCATCGAAATCTGCATGTTCTATTGCCATAACGCCTGCATCAGCGAAAAGTTGTTCTGGATAATTGTAAATAAGTTGACGATTTATAAAAACGTTGCAGTTATGTTTCAAAATCTTTGAAACTTTATCTTTCATTTTCTCTTTCTCTGCAACTTCCAACTCTGCAATTTTTGCCATAGAATCGACTTTAATGTGAGATCCAAATACTTTAATCTTATCAGTGTCCATAGGGGTGTTTGCAATTAATATACGAGCATTTTCTACCCTCTTAGGCTGGTGAACGCCAGGTTTCTTGTCCAACAAAAAACCTTCATCCAAAAACGAGTCTTCTAGAACTCCCCCTGTCTTTTTTATTATTTGAATGGACTGGAGATCTCCAGTACCTTTCAATCTAAGAATTGCTTCCACACATAATTTTGCAAAATGTTCTTTATGTTGGGAAAGAATTTTTGAGCTAAGTGTAGTTCGAGCAATATTTAAGAGGTCTTCTTTGAATTTTTGAGAATCTGCACTGTTATCTAAAGATGCCTGTTGCAAGGCATTGCGAGCTACAACAACAGCTTTACGCCAACCGGCTATAATTGTCTGAGGGTGAATTTTTTGCTCAACCAATTTTTCTGCTTCTTTTAATAATTCTGAAGCTACAAACAAAATATTTAATATTATTTACTATTTACTGTTTATTAAATGACTATGAGGTAACATTATAAAAGTAAGTGACAGATTTAAAAAGGAGATTACTAACATACATTTCTAAAGAAGTTAAATAGATATTAAGTTTATAGAATACTTTTAACACATACCAAATACAGTAACAGAAGTTGTGCCATCACCAACCTCATCATCTTGAACCTTTGACATGTCAACTAAAATTTTGGCTGCTGGATTGTCAACTCCGACTGATTTTAATATTGTAGCACCGTCATTAGTTACTTGAACTTGTCCAGCATTACGACCGTAGGAAACCAAAATTTTATCCATTCCCTTTGGCCCTAATGTGCTTTTGACAAGATCACCTATTGCTATAGCTCCCACAAAACTAGACAAACGGGCAATCTCCGCCTTTTCCTCTTCTGCCTCTTCTTTAAGAACACGTACAGGATTAAGAGACACCTGAAATAACATTTTTTTTGTAATTTTTTGTATAAATGTCGGTTTGGGTAGGAAATAATTGCCCACGTGTTTAAGTTAACAAAACATCCGAAACTTCCAAACAAAATTATAACTCAAATAAATGACATCCATAAAAGTTAGCTTAATAGTCGTAATCTCAATAATTTAAAATACTACCTTACCATTTTTAAATTAATTAAGTAGTCTTTTTATAACTAATTTGTTGATGCAAATGCTGAAAACACTTTTATCGTTTACTTTTTGAGCCTACTTTTTGACAATTGACAAATGAATCAGTGCTACACTTTTACAAACGAATTTCCCCCATTAACATTTAGACACTAAATTCCTAGATAACGCGCGCAATTTCAAATCGCATCGTTTATTACGCTCATTTATTGAATCTTTTATTATTTAATAATTTGCTGAACAAACATCAATTAGTAATCACTAAGACTCACTCATATACATTTAAGGCATAAGTTCTAATTAAAAAATGTTGCATAAAACTTACAATTACAATAAGTAATTATTGATGATTTTGTATAATTAAAGATAATTATGTTCTTGTCCTTACAATTCTTTAACTATTATTTCAGTCATAAAAAAATGTGAAGAAAAAATCTTAAACAAAATTAGTAATTATACAAATATTTATTATTTATCATAATAACAAATGTCAAAAAGGTATAAAAAATGAATGTAGGTAAAAATTCGTTTAAATCGGTTTCGATTTATTTTGTCAAAACACCCACTAACTTTTTTAATGCACAAAAAATGATTGAATTTAATTTATTGTAAATCTTTTATTGTGGAATATTTCTTATAAACCTATCACGTGACTAGGCGATCTCGAAAGCTAATTTTGGCTTTTACCAGAGCCGCGACGCCCGACGAAGACGCCGTTTGCATTTCAGTGTTTTAGTTTGTGAAAATCACCCATTACGTTCATCCTGACTGTTTATTGGCTTTTACAGCCGACCCCAGCTCTTAACGCAATTATTTATGTCTAAAGGTGCGTAATACCTGTTCGTTTTTTCAATTTGATTTGTTTGACAATGAGTGCAATTTTCAACATTTATAAACTTTGCGAATTTCAAAATTCTTAATGTCCAAAATGTATAATAATAAAGTTGTTTAACTTTTAATAACATTAAATATTTTCATTTTGTATCACTTGAGTGATTCAAACTTTATTCTTTACGATTGGCTTATTTGTTTAATTCGGTGCGTTATTTTATATTGCGGTAACAAAAATATAGAAAGACCTTGCAAAGGTTGTGAAGATCTTGACATTTAATTTTTTTATTATTATTATCATTATTAAGTACCCACTGAGATAATTTTCACTGCCAATCATATTCAATAAAAACGGTGCCAAAAGTTTTAGCACCCGCGTATCACATTTTTGGCACCCGCTTTGTTCTGTTCTTTCTGTAATATCAAATTGTGTATCATACGTATAATGCGAATTGAATAAATTTTTGTGGGTGTGTGTAACAAATTGACCATGCTCAATTAAATTATTAATTACCAATTTGTTGAATTATACAATTTTTTGTTTATTTTTAATTTACTACTTTTAAATTGCAACTGTTGATTGGTAACGTGTAATAATTTTTAATATTCTGTTATAATTTTAATGTCCTTAATAGTAGATGTCGTTTTGCTTTTGTTTTCTTGTTCTATTTTCTCAAAATTTTATCAACGAAATAATATACAAGCATTTCATTAAGTAACTTTCTTGTTTCGAAGAAATACGAGCAACGGTGATGGTATTTTTGAACTGTAGTTTTTGTTTTTTCGTTTGTTTATGGTAATGACGTTAAACATTCATCTTTTAATGACGTCATGGGGCTATTTACTAACACGTATACTGTACACGCATTTAAAAATTTTCGTCAGCAATTGTTCCTCTTAAATTAAAATAAAACGCGAAACACGCTTGCAAATTATATTTATAACTCGCGCCTGTTTTTTTTTTTTTAAACAGTGTTTTCTTACCATTCATTTTTGAATTGAATGTTAGAGCGGATATGTAGTTAGCTTCTAATTTTATGACACCCTGTATCTTTTTATCCATAACAGTAGTAAAGCATCACAACATAATCTAATTGGACATAAAAAGTGGAATCATAAAAACACTATTAAACCAAATGACCATGAAGATCTAATTTCAATTTAAAACAATTATTAGCGCACTTAATAAATAATAATCTTGCGTATTTACGAAATTGAGTGTGGAATTTTTAAACCTTTTTAACTCTTATTGTATTTGTAAGCGATAAATAAACTATAATAGTGACTAATAATAATTTGTTTTTCAAAAAAATATTTGTTTACATTATTAAATTGCCTAATTGTTAGGCATTCAGAAAGAAAATATTCAATCGTCGAATGCTAGCGAAAAAATAAGTATACGTATTTTTTTTATAATTGTTTAGTTAGATTATTGATAATTACTAAAATAAAATTTTTCGAATGTAAGTAAT